CCCGTGGGCTGGGAGATGGGCTTGAGGTGAGGGGTACGAGCCTGACAGGAGTGCAGGGGCCATGTGGGGGTGCACAGGCAGGGTGGGAGGTAGGAGCAAAGTGGGGGGTGGGGGTCTGGGCGGGAGAGGGGTGCAGGAGCAGACTGAGGGTTGGGGTCTGGATGATGCTGGTGCGGTTAGCAGGAGCCACTATCCTTGGGGGCTGAATCCATCCCCCAGGCCTTAAGTTCCCCACCCCGAGGTGAATGATACAGTCTCCTAGCCAAGCAGAATTCTGTGCGGCCCATTAACGAACACTGACATTTCCAGGTAATCATCTCAATGCAAAAGGCTGGAAACGTTCAGTCCCGAGCTGACATTAACTTTGGCATTTAGAGGATTCCAGGAGGCTTTGCTTGGATTCCTTGTAGGAGCGTGGAACAGCCACATACGCAGGAAATGCAGTTACCTCAGACGTACTTGAGGTGGGGAAGCCATAAAAGAAATGCCAGCGAGAGCAGAAATTGCCCTGAAATGCCCCCATTCTCCTCTGAAGAAGCAGCCTCGTCTCCCACTCTTATTAAGAACAGAAAACTGATTACAAGAGTCTCAAGTGAAAGGAGGCGCGCAGGAGATGTTATGACTTCCCATTGGCAAGGAAGAAATATAGAATCCTCTTAGACTCATAGTATCCTAGAACGGGAAGGGACCTCGAGAGGTCATCAAGTCCAGTCCCCTGCCCTCACGGCAGGACCAACCACCATCTAGACCCTCCCTGACAGGTGTCTGTCCAACCTGCTCTTAAATATCTCCAGAGATGGAGATTCCACAACCTCCCGAGGCAATTTATTCCAGTGTTTAACCACCCTGAAGTTTTTCCTAATGTCCAACCTCAACCTCCCTTGCTGCAGTTTAAGCCCACTGCTTCTTGTCCTGTCATGTTAGGCCAAGGAGAACCATTTTTTTCCCTCCTCCTTGTAACACCATTTTAGATACGGCCAGTCCCCGAGTTGCAAATGGTCGATTTACGACCGTTCGCATTTACGACCAAACCTCCCATTACGCAGTCGTAAAAGGCGGTCCCCGAGTTATGAATGAAACAGAGCGTCTAGACTACAACCAGTACTTTCGAAAAAGCAAGCCGCATTTTCGAAAGAGAGCACCTAGGCCGTCTGGATGCTCTCTTTCGAAAAAGCACAGCTAGCATTACATAGCACCTTTTTTCGAAAGAGCACTTTTGAAAAAAAGCATTATTCCTCATAAAACGAGGTTTTCCACAGTCGAAAAACCTGCCGCGTTCTTTCAATTTACTTTTGAAAGAACACGGCAGCAGTTTAGATGCAGGGGAAGTTTTTTTGAAAAACGGCCATTAAAAAAAACCGGTAGTCTAGACACACCCCAAGTGTGGTTCACTGTCCCATACAGTGTCACTCAGACCACAGCAACAGATAAGACCAAGAGACCCCGACAGCATGGGCTAAGAGCCAGCTGGCTTTTAGCTCAGAGGAGGTTCAAATCTACCTGGTGGTGGTTACAAGTTCACTCCCTCTGGGGCACCGGGCATTGGCCACTGTTGGCAGACAGGACACTGGGCTAGATGGTGTGACGGCGCGTTGGGGGTCCCCTGTCTCCTGTACCCCAAAATGGCACAAATAGACTGCACCAGCCGGTGGAATAGAGGAAGTTTATTGCCTCTCCAGGATACAGCACAGCACAGATGTAATCTGGTCACAGAGCTGGGCTAGGATGCCTCAGGCCCCCTTGAGATGGGGGAGACTGGGCCCCTAAACTCCAGCCCCTGTCCCTAGGCTGTCTCCTCCATGCTCCCAGACAGCAACTAACCCACACTCTTCCAGCCCTGCCCCCCAGCCAGGGCAGCATTCCCCCTTCCTTTGTTCCTCTCCATGGGGGGTGTCTGGCCATACTGGTTGAGAGATCCCTTTGCATAGTGACTCATCCTGTTTTGCTGGGCCGTGGTACCAACTGCAGCCAGTGGGGGTTACCCCAGAGCCAGCAGCATAGAAACCAGCCAAGTACCCCCACTACGTCACAGATGGGGCTTTGGTTGCACCCAATTTGGCCGTTCTGATGCTGTTCTGTTGGTTTTTGGGCAAGTCTCTTAATCTACTGTGGTCCCTGGTGGTGGAATGGAGATGCTCCTAGCCTAATTCACAGGAGCTTGGGAGGGTAAGATGAGCGGAGCATTGTGACCAGCTTGGATTCTGGGATGATGAAGAGGAGACAAGGAACCTAGAGGGACCTTCCTAATGAAGTCAAAACTGCCAGGTTCCCCTTGAAATCCTCCTTCCCCCACTTGTCTCTGCTGGCTATGATTTGGTGAACCCTTGACTTGTTCTAGCAAACTTTAACTCACGCCGACTCTCTCCCCTCTCTCAGTTATAACCCTGTGCTGTATTTTCAAGTGCCGGATTCCCCGGACGAAGAAAGAGATCGAGGCCCGGTACGCACAGCGGCAGGCAGCCAAGACGTATGCCGACAAACTGGAGACGGTGCCGCCGCTCAACGAGCTGACGGAGATCCCTGGAGGTATGTCCACACCTCCCTGTTTCCTCTCCCGGGTTTCTTGGGGCAGACATGAAGCGTTAGGTTGTCCACAGGCACAAAGCTGTGTTTAAGGAAACACAGAATCCTACGGCTGGCAGAGACCTCAGGAGTCATTGAGTCAACCCCCTGCACAAAGCAGGACCAACCCCAACTCAATCATCCCAGCCAGGGCTTGGTCAAGCCAGGACTTCAAAACCTCTAGGGATGCAGATTCCACCCCCTCCCTAGGGAACCCATCCCAGGGCTTCCCCACCCTCCTAGGGATGTACTTTTTCCTGACATCCAACCTAGATCTCCCCCACCACAACTTGAGCCCATTGCTCCTCATTCAGCCCCCACTGAGAACAGCCTCTCTCCATCCTGATGGCTCAATGTCAGGTTGGCGGTTGGTTTCAAGCAGAGTGCCCCAAGGATCGGTTCTTGGACCGGTTTTGTTCAATATCTTTAATAATGATCTGAATGAGGGGATGGGTTTCACCCTCAGCAGGTTCGCAGGTGACAGTAAGGTAGGGGAAGAGGTAGATAGGCTGGAGGGCAGAGATAGGGTCCAGAGTAACCTAGACAGATTATAGGATTGGGCCAAAAGAAATCTGATGAGGTTCAACAAGGACAAGTGTAGAGTCCTGCACTTGGGACGGAAGAATCCCAAGCATTGTTACAGGCTGGGGACCAGCTGGCTAACTAGCCATTCAGCAGAAAAGGACCTGGGGATAACAGTGCATGAGAAGCTGGATAAGAGTCAACTTGTAGCCAAGAAGGCTAATGGCATATTAGGGTGCATTAAGAGGAGCATTGCCAGCAGATCTAGAGAAGTGATTATTCCCTTTTATTCAGCTCTAGTGAGGCCACATCTGGAGTATTGTGTCCAGATCTGCCCCCCCTCCCCAACTGCAGAAAGGATGTGGACACATTGGAGAGGGTCCAGCAGAGGGAAATGAAAATGATGAGGGGGCTGGAGCACTTGACCTATGAGGAGAGACTGAGAGATTTGGGCTTTTTTATTCTGCAGAAGAGAAGAGTGAGGGGGGATTTGAGAGCAGCCTTCAACTCCCTGAAGGGGGGTTCCAAAGAGGCTGGAGAGAGGCTGTTCTCAGTGGTAGAAGATGGCAGAACAAGGAGCAATGGTCTCAAGTTGCAGTGCGGGAGGTGTAGTTAGGATATTAGGAAAAACTATTTCCCTAGGAGGGTGGGGAAGCCCTGGGCTGGGTTCCCTAGGGAGGGGCAGGGAGAAATCTCCATCCCTAGAGGTTTTTAAGTCTCGGTTTGACAAAGCCCTGGCTGGGTTGATTGAGTTGGGATTGGTCCTGCCTTGGGCAGGGGGCTGGACTTGGTGACCTCTTGAGATCTCTTCCATACGTATGATTCTATGATCCTCCAGGGCATTTAATGGCCAATTGCACCAACAAAAGACCTGGACCCTTAGTTTTCTGGACAAAGCCCCCCCTGGCTTTGCACACGCTCTTTGTGGCAGAAAGCCCCAGTGTTAAGATTCAAGGGTCAGATCCGTAGCTGGTGTCAGTCCACATAGCTCCATTCATGGCAGTTGGCTCTCCCTCCGCTGATGCCCATGAGCAGAGCAATGCTGAAAGGAAACCTTCCGACCCACTGAGCCTCCAGCCTCACTGTGTGTCTGTTCGAAAGGCCAGGTTCCAGGGGGTACCAGAGGGGAGCAAATGCGTCGCTAACTCAAGGGGGGGCCAAACCCATCTCGGCGAATAGCAAATGAGCTGGGGGCCATCTTGCATTTTTTCAGGTCCCGGAAACAATTTGTGAAGTCAGGTCCAATTTGGCAAACGTCCCCCCTTCCACATCCCTTCCACAAAAAAACGCCAAAGACAGTTTTTGGAAAAAAGGTCCAAACGTTTTTTTTCCTCCTGCCCCTTCAAAACCAACGGTTTCAACGTTTCCTTGCGCGCTTTGTCTGGAAATGTTGCTTTTTAATTTATGACAATGGGGAGGGGGAAAGGGCATAGAAGAAAGACACAAAACAGAAAGCACAACTGGACCAAAGTTCCTTTGGGGGGGTCAATGAAACCCCCAATTTCTTTGGGTCCCACATGAATAGGAAGGGGGAGGGGGAGGGTTCGGCCTCTGAACTGGAAAACCAATGATTCGCGCTGTGTGATTCACGCTCCCGGTGTCCCTTACACAGTCTGCCAGCCCAGACGGCCAAGGGCTACTCTGCCTCTGGAATCTTGTCCCGGCTTCCTTTCCTGCCACTCACCAGCTCCTACTTCTATCCGCTAGGCTCCACTGAAAGCCTCTCGACTCTCTCTGCTCACCTCCCGCCCAGACCTCTCCACTCTCTGCCCGTGGTGAAGGAAGAAGACGAAATGGCCCTGCAAGGGAACTAGCGGGAATGTCTGCCCGTCTGCCGGTCCGTCTGTCTGTCTGTCTGTCTGTCTCTTTGGCGTCTCCTTCCGGCGCTCATTGTTCTCCTTTCCTTCCCCGTCTTTCGCCTTCACTTGATCGTCTTCTCCCGGGGTTCCTTGTCAACATTGCTCTGCACCCATGGCAGATGGTCACTCAGCTGTAGAGTGGTGGTTCGCGCACTTTGTGGCCCATGGCCCATCCCGCTCCATGCAGACTTCCCCCCGGACCACCAACCAATCGTGATGACAAAATGGATGCAGTAGAGGGTGGGTGTTGGGTAGGGGGAAGTCTGGCTGGGAGGTAGGGTGCAGGAGCGGGATGAGGGTGAGGGGTCGGGGTGGAAGGTTGGGGGCAGGAGTGGGGTGGGGGTGCAGGTGTAACCCACACACCTAGTGTGGTTTACTGTCTCATGCCATGGCACCTAGACCACAGCAACAGATAAGCCCAAGAGACCTCTACAGCAGAGAGCTGAAACAGCGGTGGAAAAAATACAAAGAGCTCCACCAGACTTGTTGAGCAAAAAAAAAAAAAGATGCTGCCCCTTTAAAAACAGGCTTTTGGCCACATCAGGATCCTGCCAGCTGCCACCATTTTGCCACACCAGACGGTGGCTCCCCTACACCTGCTGAGCACAGGGAACTGGGGGCTGTTTGTAGAGGTGCATGGGGCAGCTTCGTGAGCCTTGGGGGAGGCTTTCTGAGCTGCACTTTCAGGGGTGAAGAGCTGCCTGCGGCTCGCAAGCCACAGGTTGGCCACTCCTGCTTTACAGCATGGGTTGAGCACCAGGAGGCTTTTAGCTCAAAGGGCAGAGGCTCTTATACTAAGCTCCCGAGGTCCCAGGTTCAAATCCACCTGGTTGTGGTTACATCTAGTCTTGGTAGGAGGGGGATGAGAGTGTGGGGACCTGGGCATGAGGAATGCTTAGCTGGGTCAGTGCCTCCTTCCACTCCCAGGTGCTGCTCCCATTGGCTGCAATTCTGGCCAATGGGAGCTGCAGGGAAAGCCTCAGATGAGTGGCTTCCTGTGCTGCTGTTCCCCCAGCAGGGGGCAGAGGCATGGTAATGTGTGGAACCACCTCCCCACCTATGAGCTGCATCCAGCCTGCGAGGCTCACCTCCCTCCACCCCCTGCAGGGGGAAGCTGGTGGGCACCGAGCCCACTGCCCCACCTGCAAAACTATTGCAGATCACTAGTGGTCCACAGAGCACACATGGAGAACCATTGTATTACATGAACTCTGGGAGCTGGGAGCTTCCTTGCCTCAAACCCCAGACCTGTGATGGTATTAAAACTGCTTCACTTCCATTGACTTCACTGGACATTAGGGCTGTGTCTAGGCTGTGTCATCCCTTTTCCGTAAAAGGGATGCAAATTAGACACATCACAATTGCAAATGAAGTGGGGATTTGAATTTTCCCCACTTCATTTGTATAAACATGGCTGCCACCTTTTTCCAGCTCGGGTCTTTGCCGGAAAAAAGCACCAGTCTAGACGGGGATCTTTCGGAAAATAAAGCCTTTTCCAAAATAAGGAATAAGGGATCTTTCGGAAAAGGCTTTATTTTCCGAAAGATCCCCATCTAGACTGGCGCTTTTTTCCGGCAAAGCCCCGAGCCGGAAAAAAGCGGCAGCCATGTTTATGTCAATGAAGCGGGGGGGGGTTAAATTC